TACAAAAAACATCATCGTTTTGCTTTTTATTTACTGTATTTTATTAGTATTATTATAACCAAAAATAAACCTGTTTCTACGTATTTGATATTTTGAATATTTAACCCAAACTAACTCGCCCAAATCTCTCGCCTCTTTCGATCGTAACACGTGATCCTTGCGACCACCCAATAACAATTTACCAGATTTTGAGTTAAATATGCTAAAAAACTTTCATCGGCATATATGCTTAAAAAATATATGCTAGCTAATAAGAAAATATAACCGAAAAAAAAAAAAATTATTGCGGCACAAACAATAAGAAACACCTGAATCTACTACAAAGCGTACTTTGTTTATGAATTCGTGTCGTTACTGTCACCAAGATTATTTCATAGAGTATTGCTACCTTTTTATCATACAAATAAAACTTTCGCGGAGACACTAATCAATATTCGGGGTTTTGCTAGTCTCACCACGGTACGTACGTATAACCAAGTATCCCTCGATTTCCGAAAACCGAAAATTTGCCAACAGTTTACGATCGTTTTTCTTTAAAAAGAGAATGGTTCAATAAAAGCCATGAGCTTATCTTGGTTGCACAAATTTACGACATCACAGAAGGATGGAACGAATGAAAGTATTTAAATTGAATTTCAGATTTTGCGAAATTACAATGAAATAACTTTCCATAAATATGATTTGTTTATTAATCTTAAATACCTTAGTCTCTAATGACTGTGATAGTAACAAGGGGGAAAATATTTCATCGGTTTTTTGGTCTTAACATTTTTCGAATTCGTAACATGGCATAGACGGACAATCAAATATGAATCCAAACAGGCCTCGCCCATCGTCTTCACATCTTAAAGATGAGTCACCTGATCATTTTCCCAAACTCTTCATCGCATAAAATCGATATAACTTGATCGATGTCTTGTAAACACACAGCTCGTGCTGTTGCTTCTCAACCAACTCCCGGGCCTCCTTCTCTGTTATGCGCAACACAATATTCTGTTTTCTCATTAATTTAACACAATTGTTCTGTATGATTTCGCCAAGTTTTCCACCCCAAGGACCTAACGGGACGATTTTGCTGACTTGTCGCAGGGTCGTGGGATCAATGCCTTTTGTGGAAGTGATTATTTGAGGTAAGTGAAAGACCAAGTCAGGGTCAAGATCCCTCCTTGAGCAAGCTTCTCGGACTAGGGTGAATGGATGGACGAATGGATAAGTAGGAATTTTCAAAAATCGATGATATGACTCTCTCGTGAATTGATTGAGTAAATGGTGTACATACAAAGGCTCACGTATTTTTTTGAAATTGGACCATTATTTATCCCGTCACACTCCAGTTCAAAAAGCTACATTATTAAAAATTTTTAGATATCTACACGTGACCAAGAAGGAGAAATTTTTTCAAATCCTTCGTACCTCTATCCACCCGCCCGGCTTCAAGACTCGCACCAATTCTTGTATCACCAAATTGTTCCATTGACTCTTGGTATAATTGAGATACTTTAATTGCAAGTACACGAAATCAAACTGATTATCGTTAAACGGAAGACCGCCATTAAGGTCGCACTTGATGAATTGAACGTTAGAAGGGTATATGGTGGGAAACAATGATGCAACTTCTACGCCGACGAATGTAGATTTTGGAAAATCGGAACTCATGTCGCACGTCCATGTCCCTGGTAGTCAGTCACATAAAGGAGACGGACAGTCGGTTACAAAGGATGAACCGCGCAGTTAGCAGAATAATTATTTCTATTGATGATTACCTGGACCACAACTTTAATTGACGAATGAAAGAAATGTATGGTCAGCAACAATTCATTTTTTGCAAAAACAAAATCATTCCCACAACGTCTTCGTTCATCCCACCCTCTCCCCCTCTCCCCTTCATGAGAATCTGAAACAGATAATCACCCAAAATCCAAAACCGTGGCTCCGCCCTCCATTAGCATCTCTCGGACGGGTGATAAGAAGTTTCCACCCCACACCGTACGGTACATGTGATGTTCCACTTGAACTCGGTCGATTTCCTCATCATTATTAAACAAGAGTTTATTATCAATGTTTGTGGGGGTTTCTGCGGCGGAGCTGATGAAAATGCGGGAACGTTCGTTCTTGTTCCTCTTTATCTTGGTCGTTAGATTACCCATTGGAACAGTTACTATTGTTATTTTCGTTTACGGTAGTGAATAAACTTTTAAAGGGATGTATGCAAAGAGTTATATACTAATTTTTTTTTTTGTTTTTTGTT